TGCAACTGTTTGAGATCGGATGGACACTACTAGTCAAGAGAAACAACAACAAAACTCAAAAAAGCATGAATGAAATGACTATACTGACAAAATCTAAAACAGAGTATGAGACATTTGCTTGTTTGTTACTCTACTTCTTCATTTGCTCTTGACAAAGTAGAGCTTACCCATGACATGAAGAATAGCAACAAAAGCAATGAAACCAATGCTCATAATCAGAACAACATTGGGAGAAATCTTGAGACCGGGAGCGTCGTCTGTGTAAAACTGAAGCATTGATCCCGCTGCTCCTCCCGAAGCACCACCACCGGCGCTGCTGCTGTTTCCGCCTTTTCTCCTCCGCATACTTGCGGTTGCAGCTGCACTTCCTCTCTGTGGAGCTCCAGCACCAACAACCATTTTCGCTTCACTTCTTGATTCTTTTTAAACTAATTTGAAGAACACAAAACAACAAAAAGATTGAAACTTTAGAAAGAATGAAGTAGAAGAAATCAAAATAATTCCTAAACATTGCAATGTCAAACGAATCCCAAACCGAGTAATAAATACATGTAAGTTTAACCCAATTGCTTAATCTATTTAGATCAATCCAAATTCATATTCAGCACTAATTAATCATCATTCTTGATAAATCTGATCCAAAAATCAAGACACATCATAATCGGAGAACAAAAAAATTCCAAATTATGGCGAATCGGTATAACGAAATCAAACACTACTGGGCGTGTAGATCTAGGAATCGTATCACAATCAGAAATTTCCCACTGATAGATAGCGAAATTCAAAATCTAGATATGTGATCATCTTACAAACCCCAATGCATCTAAACATTCATAGATCTACAAATTTCTTCGATCTCACAAAATTGCTAGATCGATCATCGTTGTCTCAGAGATTCACAGTAAGAGAGATTAAAATCGAAAAAAAAGAATCACCTGATTTGGCTTTACAGATTTCTGATTTGCGTCGAGAACAGATTTTTATTTGTTTTCAGGAATCGTTGTGAATGTTCGTAATTTGCAGAAATTTTGTTTTATGAATATGGGTTTAGTTTGTCCTGAGGCCACGCAACTCCTTCGCCTAACAACCAATACTATAGCGCCACGTCGACAGCTTAAATGAAAAACATCCAATTTGAAATTGACACGTGGACGATAGTCTTTATGAGTACCCTTACTAGTGCACGTCTTTGGCCTTTGTTTTAAAAAAAAAAAATGCTAAATTTAAAATGTTGACATTGAATTGATAGTGTGGTGTTGGTAAATAATTTCTACTTTCG